GAATATAGGTTTTGTTTTTAATTTATCTAAGACTTGGGCGGCACCTGTGGCTCAAGGAGTAGGGCGCCGGCCCCATATGCCAGAGGTGGAGGGTTCAAACCCAGCCCCGGCCAAAAACTGCAAAAAAAAAAAAAAATTTATCTAAGACTTACTAATAGTTCTTAACATACCCTAAATTAAATGTGGTTAAAGTGATCTATTTTCATATACAATGAAACTTGTTTTGGGTTAAGGATTGTGAGTGTTACAAAAATGCAATATGTAATAATGTAAGTAAGAGGCAATGATACAGATAAGAAGGAATTGTAGGGTTTCATCCCATGACCTGAGGACTAAATAAAGAGGTAAAAATCGCTCTTCTCCACGGACTCCGCCAACATGGTGTTCAGGCACTTCGTGGAGGTTGGTTGGCCGAATGGCCTATGTCTCCTTTGGGCCTCACACCGGAAAGCTTGTAGCGATTGTAGATGTTATTGATCAAAACAGGGCTTTGGTTGATGGACCCTGCACTCAGGTAAGAAGACAGGCCATGCCTTTCAAATGCATGCAACTCACTGACTTCATCCTCAAGTTCCCACACAGTGCCCACCCGAAGTATGTCCGGCAAGCCTGGCAGAAGGCAGATACAAATACAAAATGGGCAGCCACAAGATGGGCCAAGAAAATGGAAGCCGGAGAAAGGAAAGCCAAGATGATAGATGTTGATCGTTTTAAAGTTACGAAGGCAAAGCAAATGAGGAACAGAATAATCAGAATGAAGTTAAGAAGCTTCAAAAAGCAGCTCTTCTGAAAGCTTCTCCCAAAAAAGCGCCTGCTAAGGGTGCTGCTGCTGTTGCAGCAGCTGCTGCTAAAGTTCCAGCAAAAAAGATGACCACTGCGGGCAAGAAGGCTGCAGCCCAGAAAGCCACAGGCCAGAAGGCAGCACCTCCTCCAAAAGCTCAGAGGGGTCAAAAGACTCCAGCCCAGAAAGCACCTGCTCCAAAGGCATCTGGAAAGAAAGCATAAGAGGCTATAATGAAAGTAATGAAGGTTCTTTTTGACATGTTGGCAAAAAAAAAAAAAAAAAGAGGTAAAAATCATGTGTCCTAAAGTCCAGATCTAATCAACATTTCAGAGTTTACAGTAGGACTACAAGCAAACCACAGCACTGGGAAACTGAACATTGAACAGGGGACAGAAGTCAGCAAACTCTTAGAGGTCCAGATAGTACACATATTTTAGGCTTTACAAGGCATGTGATCTCTATCTCAACTCTCCAACTGTAGCCTGAAAGCAGTCATAGACAATGCACAAAAGATTAGGCATAGCTTACCATGGAATACTATTCAGCCATTTAAAAAATGGAGACTTTACAGCCTTTGTATTACCATGGATGGAAGTAGAACACATTATTCTTAGTAAAGCATCACAAGAATGGAGAAGCATGAATCTTATGTACTCAGTTTTGATATAAGGACAATTAGTGACAAGGGGACAGGGTGAGCAGAGAGAGGAAGGAGGGAGGAGTGGGAAGGGATTAGCAGAGAGAGGGAAGCGGGGAGGGAGGTGGGATCTTGGTGTGTGGCAAACCTTTTGGGGGCAAGACACAATTGTAAGATGGACTTTACCTAACAAATGCAATCAGTGAAACCTGGTTTCTTGTACCCTCAATGAATCCCCAACAATAAATTAAAAAAAAAAAAAAAGAATAGGCGCAGTTGTGTTATAATCAAACTCTATCATTTATGGAAATAGGCAGCCAGCCTACCCCACACTGGGATTACAAAATCACAGCCAAGCTGAGGCTGGCAACAGGAGAAATACCACCTTTCCTTCTTATAGGTAAACATACTTAAAGACTGTAGGGTTCAAAGCCAGAACACCTCTCTGGGTTCAAATTCCCTCTCTGCCACTTCCTACCTCTTTGATTCCTGGAAGTTACTTCCTACTAACTGGCAAATATTACAGAGCATTAATTACAATCAACTGTGTACTTTTCTATATCACTTTATGCTGCCTTACCTGCCTGTTTCAGTCACCTATGTGACCTGCCATCTATTCAAATCTTCCCTGAATAGAAGCTATGTGCTGATAGCTACAGAGGACATAAAGGGGAGAGACCTGGTCCTTGGTCTCCACCAGACAGTGGAAAAGGCCCTGGGTTTTAAGCCTTCCCAGAAGGAGTCCTTCACGGGTGCAGACAGAACTTCATGGCCTATGCTATGTCTCCTTTACCTAATGAGACATGGCCATGAACTCCTCTGATGGAGTCACATTTGGTCATGTGACAATTAAGCATCAAAGCCTACTTATTCAAAAGCCAGAAGCCCTTCAGGTAACTTGCTAACTGCAAACTTCTAAAACACACAAGTAGAGAAGGTATGGAACTCTGGACAGCTAGATCAAAAGAGAAGACAGAGCGACTGTCCGTAGACACACACCTCTTCCGGAGAGCTGTTCCCAGTTCACCAACCAAATCTCGATGGGGCCCCACATCCTTAGAATTCCAGTTCCAAGACACAGGACTCGGCCAGTTTGTGAAGCCTTCGTGATGCTTTGTTGTCAGGACTACATACCTGTGGACAATAAAACCACATGAGCAAAGGAGTAAACAGCAGGGAGGAACTTGCTAAGCATGTCTGAGGCTTTAAAATGTCTGGGAGAGGCTCAGCGCCTGTGGCTCACGTGGCTAAGGCGCCAGCCACATACACATAAGGCGCGGGTTCGAATCCAGCCCAGGCCTG